TGCATCTTTTTTTCTCTTCTTAGTGATATAAGCCGTCTACATTTTCTAGTGCTACAGTGCCTATTGTCTCGAAGCATTGGTGTCTGCATTATGTAGTTGTTCTTCCCAGCATAGTTCTTCGAGCTCTTGGCTTATGCGTTCCCAGTTAATCAGTTTGTTATTGAAATTGAATTTGCTGAATTCTCCTCCTCCTCCTCCTGGGATTTGATATTGGCTTCACCGGTCTATTACCCATGCTCGTCTGAACTTCGATCAGGTTGTGATCTGAGTAACAAGTAGTTGTAATCATTATGTCCCTGATCAGCTCGTCGTTGTTTGTAAAAATAAGGTCTAGGATGTTTTCTTTCCTATTTCGCTCTACTATTTGCTGGTTTAAAGCAAATCTTAGTGTCACACATCTGCAGCGGGTCATTTGTGTGTGACTTCACCTTAATCTTACCTAACCATAGAGTGAGAATATGTAATAATACTAATTACATAGTCATTGTGAATCCATTACCGTGTGCAGATTTCCTTCCTAAGAACAGGTTTGTTCTTAGGAAGGAAATCTGCACCAGTATGTGCAGTCTATCCTCGCACATACTGGTGCGAGGATAGACTGCCTGTCTACTCGTGCTATAGTGGTGTCGGATGGAGCGAGGAGAGAGGGGAATAGATTGTGTGGATTGTGAAGCCACTCCCCAAGCCAAACCCATTAGCTTTGGATTTTAATTTTCGTTGACTCCAACTAAGAGTCAAATCAGAGGGCATAGAGCTGTTTGGCCCTAAAGGAACACGGTGCTCATCTCTAAAGGTTGTAATATTTTTAATTTCTCACCTGTCCAAAACACAGCAGACAGATTGAGAATATTACATCCTTTAGAGATGAGCAATGTTCCTTTTGGGCCACACAGCTCTATGCCTTCTGATTTGACTCTTAGTTGGGAGTCAACGAAAAATAAAACCCAAAGCCAATGAAGAGGTGAATATAACAACCCATCCGCCTAAAATGAAAGTATTTATGGTAACTGTTTGGTTGAAAGCACCACTATGTAATGATGTACCACCAGAAAGGTGACTTTCGTATTACTGAATTTGGACAAACTGGAAACTTTCTTAACCGTAACATAGATATACGACCTAATTTAACCTCTCCTAGCAATCCTAGGTTTATTATACGCTGTATTAGGCCTAATGTAGTACATAGCTGCTTTATTAGGCCTAGGAATATTTAAATTTGTATGTTACCTTTATTTTTCCGGACTTTTTAAATTTAATTGTACAAAATGTAGTTTACTGGTGGTGGTCCACCACTACACACAGTGGTGGTCCACCACTACACACTGGTGGTCCACCACGACACACTGGTGGTCCACCACTACACACAGTGGTGGTCCACCACTACACACAGTGGTGGTCCACCACTACACACAGTGGTACTTTAGACCCAGATAGTTACTATAAATACTATCATGTCAGGAGGATGGGTTGTGATATAATGTTTACACAACACCGGTGACCTCGTTACTACCATATCAAATATAAGAAGATAAGAATAAAGGTAACTGCAGAAGGCCTATTGGTCCATACGAGGCAGCTCCTATTTATATCCATATATTCTTGATCAGTCAATGAATTGTGATAATGCAGATGAGATGAGATGTCCTGGGCTTGATTGATTGTAGTTGACAGTTGTAATGAAGTCCCATAACGTCAGTTAAATAAGAACAGTGTATGCGTGTCCATAAGTGTGGGGCATCAGAAATGGAATGGAAATAGACATTAGAATAGCTTGCTAAAACTTGTTCTATATTGTAGTTTAGCCTCGCTCGCTGCCCAGAGAATACAACCCCTCGCCGCCTCCCTTTCCCCGTTGCACATATTAACCTTCCATTTACCCTCTCCCACTGCACCAAGTGCACCAGTATATCCAGGAGATAAACGCAGCCCTTCAGATTAAAGACCCACCTTTAACTAGCTGTGTGTGGCTCTGTGAGTGGCTCCCTGGAGGCAAATGGCGCTGTGTGTATGAGGGGCAGGCGCCTCCCGGGGTGGTAACCTAGTGTAAAGGTGTCACACTCCGCGAATTACACACTCTAACATCATACTCGTGTGGTGCAGGGGCGGAAGGGTATGATTTGATGCGTGTATTTATGTTTGTACGTGCATACATGCATGCATACATACAGACAGACACAGACAGTTGTGCTTGAATTGTCGATTAGCTTTTTTTTTTGTCGTTGGTCATCTAATGCAGTGATATCAGAAGTACTGCTATGAATGTGCACAACTGGTCTGTTTACCTGTAGTTTACTCCTGGTGGATACCGAAAGTTTTCCTCCTCCTCGCATCCCGGAGTGAAGCTGTGCTCGCTGACCCACACAATAATCACACTCCGGATATTTCCCTTCACTTGAAGTTGGATGTAAACACAGAACAGTAATCAGTTAGAGAGCACGAGTGCTCTGTACAGTATCGTTAGTGGCGTGGGATACGTTGCTTTGAAAGTTTTTATTATCTACCCCATATAAAGGTTTGGTCACAACGGTCCGTAAGGAGATCTGACTGCATCTTTTATATTGCCTTATTTTAAGGTATTAGTATTTTGCTATCACAAGTAATTGACTTTTGTAGCACTTTAAAATAATCTTGTTTTCCTTTACTCACTGGAAGCCTTCGTTGATGTATAATTCTTATGTCAGCGACGGACGGCATGAAACTGCCGGCTGCTCTCATGTGAGAGGGCCTCCAGCTCCTCCTCCATGGAGGGCTCTATATCCTCTCATGTGAGAGGGCCTCCAGGTCCTCCTCCATGGAGGGCTCTATATCCTCTCATGTGAGAGGGCCTCCAGGTCCTCCTCCATGGAGGGCTCTATATCCTCTCATGTGAGAGGGCCTCCAGCTCCTCCATGGAGGGCTCTCTATCCTCTCATGTGAGAGGGCCTCAGCTCCTCCTGCATGGAGGGCTCTATATCTCTCATGTGAGAGAGCCTCCAGCTCCTCCTCCATGGAGGGCTCTATATCCCCTCATGTGAGAGGGCCTCCAGGTCCTCCTCCATGGAGGGCTTTATATCCTCTCATGTGAGAGGGCCTCCAGCTCCTCCTCCATGGAGGACTATCCTCTCAGGTGAGAGGATAAGGGAGAGTAGTGGGGTGAGAAGTGTACCTTGAGGGGTGCGGTCAGTGAACATTAACCTTGGTGGTTAATACCACGCCGGGCACTACAACTTTACATAATCACTACGAGGACAATGTTCATCCAGCTCGTCTTCCGAAGGTTTCTTAACGTCAAGAAAACGGTCAGTTCAAAGTGTCCTCTCCTAACCTACCAGAAGACCCAAAACAGAAAACGGGACAGTACGTCACTTTCGCGAGCCGCTTCCATTTTCAAGTACGATCATTTTTAGCCTTATGTAACGCATGCGATCGAAATGCGACGTTCTTTGTAAGAGGACAAAATGGTTCATTATCGAAATATTTCGTGGGAAGTACCTGACATTATATTGATTCATTAGCAGTGAAACTATTCCAAGTGGAAACTGTATGCGAGTATGGGATAAACAGAGAATAGTTGCGGTAGTGTGCCTGTATACGTGTATGAAACACGTCTTTATTCATGTTTATCTCGTGCTGTTAAGCCTTGGTACTTTAATATGTAATAGCTTTCCTTCATCAGCTCACATTTATTCAATGCTGCTAAATTACAATTTTAAGCATGCAAGATACATTCTCATAAATTTAACGCAAAATAACAGAAAAAGTATTGTTTTAATAAACTCCCAGAAATGGAACTGTGAAACTGTCCTGGTCTACAGCGGCTTTATTCTCAGTCTGGTTAGTTGTATGAATTGAAATAATTAAGTATACGCTCGCTCTATATTCTTCACAATTGGGAGAAACATTGTATATGGGGTAGGTGTGAAAGTTGAGGAATACAGACGATTATTATTAGCATCTTTATTGACTAATAGAAAAAAATCCTAATCGGAATGGAAGGGAATTATCAGGGAAAAGCACCAAGCCATTACGACTATATAGCACTTGGAAGGGGTCAGGATAAGGATTTAGGATGGGACGGGGGAAAGGAATGGTCCCGAACCACTTGGACGATCGGAGATTGATCGCCAACCTGCATGAAGCGAGACCGTCGCTGTACCGTCCAGCCCAAGTGTTTGGAGATAATTAATTCTATACCTAGGTTGTTTTTTTTTTTGTTCCCCTCTCCTCTCCAACACGGCCGGGCCGAGGTGTTAGGTGGGTAAGGACCACGACAACTGGGGCGTATAGAGAAGGAAGTGTACGGTTACCAGGGCTGTGTTGAGGGAGGCGGGAGAGGAGGAATAGCAGCGACACTCTTGCATAAAATTACTTTTATTGGAACATTTACGAGACAGAGGGGACAGAGGACACCTCCCTCCATCATCCTAATATATAATTTAAACCTTGTTTTAGTTAATGGTACATGTTGTTGCTTAGTAATAATGATATGAAAAATATTGTCTATTATAATTTACAGGAAATCATGCGTAATGTATTTTTTTTCTTAAGAGGTTTGTATAAAACTTTATATGCAGAATCACGTGTGCATTTATTTGTGTTAATGAATGAAAAGATTTGAAGTTTAATCTAAACATGTTGTAATCTCGCTTGCGTGTACAGGAGCTTCTGACTAGTATTTTCAGGTTTTGATAAGTCACCCCCAATACAGCTCTTGCTCGAGCGTTTTCTTTTTCATTCTCATATCTATTCTCTTTACACATCTCGTGTCTCCTCCTATTATATACTATTTTGCATTTATGACTTGTCTCATGTACTTGTCTATCAGGTACTCATATTATCAACACACTCCCGGCTTGGTGCCTTCTTTTCATAATTGCTTTATCAATACACAAAAAACTTAAATCATTATAATTACATCTTTAATTATTACAAATTATCATTCGCCTTTTTTTCCTGTTGTCCCTTTCCGATTTTCTCTATCCTCGTTCTGTTTAATTAATAACTCGTTCTCGTTGACGCAGAAGATGAAGACGAGGAAGACGTGAGCGAATCCGGGGCTGATGACGTATCGAACACCCTGAAGGTGCTGACGGCGAAGCTGGAGGACCTGCGCACGTGTCACGATCTCATCATGAAGCACGGGGCGGCCCTGCAGAAGTCCCTGGGCGAGCTGGAGGCCCTCGACAACACCCACGACCTCACCGCCAAGACCAAGACCGTTAACGAGAGAGCCACGCTCTTCAGAATCTCCTCAAACGCCATGATCAACGTGAGTATTTGTTCTTGACAGTGTCGCAGTCATAAGTGCTTATTACCTCTCTTCTTTGTCCACACCAAGAAAATTTAAGACGAAAGAAAATGGGTTCTCAGAAGATGGGCGAAGTGGAGACTGTTTTACCAATATAAATTCGTTTGTTGTTCTCTCTTCGCGAAGGATTCTGAAGTTACCTCTTGGCCGCAAACACCAGTGGCCGAAGCGGGAATAGGAAACCAGTGCTCGGCTTTTGAAGTTCCCCATATTTTTCTTAGTAAAATTTGCTTGGATGTATTTTGAGCTGTAGCTTAGTCCTATGTCTAATGGTTTCGGCGTAGTGGCTGTTTCACCGATTCATTACCGTATTTGTGAATTAGTATTTTACATTGTCCGTTGTGTATTGATGAATGACGCGCATGGAGCTTTTGTCTCTTGTATGAGTCAGGGTGAACTTCTTAAGGAGCTATCTTGATTATCGGTACATAACTTTCTCAGCCTCTTTGTGTTAGTGATGTTAGAGCTGTTATATCTTATTGCATATTTGTTAGTCGTGTAAGTTTTTACACGATAACAAGTACTGTAGTTGACATAGTTCTGTGATCATTTTCGTCACTGTTGTAATTTGTCTTGCATACTAGACCAAGTAGTGCGGTTCTGGCTATTAGGTACGATATCGATATATATATATATATATATATATATATATATATATATATATATATATATATATATATATATATATATATAATATATTTGTGTATTTAAAGGTTACAAAACATACAAGACAAATGCCTAAAGGTTATGGATCTCTTGAAGCTCCTCCGCTTCCGGACAGGAACCGAGAATGCAGCAAGCATTTCCCCTCTGGATCGCCACACTGAGGCGCTGAAACAAAAAACTGGAAGCCCTTGGGTCTCTAGTGACGTCAATGAGCTTGGAACCCAATTCCTTGAGAAATCCCAAGGCACTCTTGCCCCAGGGGCCATGCGTCTCAGACGCTATGGGAACAAAGAGGTATTGACCTTCCAGTCGCCTGTACTTGAGTGATTTTGCTGTTTCCCTGTGGTTGGCCGCCCCACCTGCTTGATCAGCTCCGAAGTGTACATAGGTGTCAGCCAGGGTGGATACACATGTGTAGTCCCACACCAACTGTCTACCCTCCTTCCATGAGTATATGGTGATGCCATCAGGGCGAAGTGCGGGGAAATCCGGGTTTTGGACCCCTATGATGCGAGGTTCTCTCTCCGCTGGGCACATAGCTGAGACGAGGCTTCTCTTGATGATGTCATTGACCTCGTTGTGTCTTGCATGCCAGCCCTTTGTGCTTCCGCAATGCAACCCATGCAGTCCGTATTGGTCTGCTTTCACCCTGTTGTAAATACACTTGTATTCAGTGTGAATTGGGGCACCAAGGCGGAGGGCCACTGCTACACGAAGGGATTCTGGATCTAGGCGCGTGCCCATTGCTGACATGGGTACTGCCAGGAGGAAGTCTCGCGCATGGGGGGCACGCACTGCTCTGAGGCGGGCTTTCTCCTTGTCTGATGTTGCGACGCTGAGTATGGCATCAGCTACTTTTTCCACTAGAGGGTATATATATATATATATATATATATATATATATATATATATATATATATATATAATAAAATACACACACGATGTGTGATGCAAAAATTATGAGAAGAATCAAGACGGATGAATATAGACAGAGACTACAGGATGACCTGGACAAACTGGAGGAATGGTCTAGAAAATGGCTGCTAAAGTTCAACTCAGGAAAGTGTAAGGTAATGAAATTAGGCGAAGGGAGCAGGAGGCTGAACACAAGGTGCCATCTGGGAGGTGAAATACTGCAAGAGTCAAATACAGAGAAAGATCTGGGGGTTGACATCACACCGAACCTTTCCCCAGAGGCCCACATCAAAAGGATATCATCAGCGGCATATGCTAGACTGGCCAACATAAGAACTGCCTTTAGAAACTTGTGTAAGGAATCGTTCAGGACCCTGTATACCACTTATGTAAGACCAATACTGGAATATGCAGCTCCAGCCTGGAGTCCATACCTAGTTAAACACAAGAAAAAGTTTGAGAAGATTCAGAGGTATGAGCTACGAGGAAAGGCTAAAGGAGCTGAACCTCACGTCCCTGGAAAACAGAAGAGTAAGGGGAGACATGATAACCACCTTCAAAATTCTCACTGGAATTGACAGGGTGGACAAAGACAAACTCTTCAGCACGGGTGGGACACGAACATGGGGACATAGGTGGAAACTTAGTACCCAGATGAGCCACAGAGACGTTAGAAAGAATTTTTTTTTATTATTATTATTATTATTTTCTACCACAGACGTGGCCACACAGTTACAATGCTAACCAGAATATATACATTTTCTTCTGCCCTCCATGGACAGGGTTAGAGAAGTGTTAAACATATAGTTCAAGGGTTTATTGAACACTCAACCACAGAAGGTGATTCGGTGCTTTTAAAATGCTAAGCTAACCAACATACGTAAATACATAGATACACAGATTTACGTATGCCCTACATAAAGTTTTCGATGTGTCTTTTACATAGTGTCATTAATGTGCATTTACAAAGGTGAAATGTAATTCTGATCAGCTTCCATATATACTTTATACACATACATACACACGCACATGCATTCACATACATTTGTCTCTTTTACTCTGACAGGGTGAGATAGCTGATAGAGAAACTAGTGTGCAATTAAGCACTTAATCACTGAAGGTGATTAAGGTGCTTTTACAAGCTCAGGTTATATAGTTACATCACATACATACATTGTATAATTGATACATTACATGGTTAATCTTGGGTACAAGTCCAATATATCAAGTGTTCCCGTACTCATATAGTAATTACACAGTTCAGCATACCTTAGCCCAGGAGGGCGAAAGTCAGTCAGTATGGGACATTCTACAATATAATGTTCAAGAGAGTGCATGTTTTCTCTTTCACAAAGTTGACACATTGTGTACTCGACATTTGGGTTTTGAGAAAGTTGCCAGATACGTCTATATCCCAGGCGTATTCTGGCCACTATAACATCACATTGCCGGGTTCTTGTTCTATTAGTCCCATATGTGAATGTCTCCTCACGATATCTATCATAATATTTAATGCTACAACTTTCAGGTCTTTGTGAATTAGTTAGGTCGGTGAGATCTTCATTAGATATTTGTTTAAGTATTCTCTGTCACTGCTAATGAAACACCCATATCAATTTCTACCACTGGTTTTCTACAGGCTGTATTTGCAAGCATATCAACAGTGTCATGCCTTGAGATGCCAACATGTGATGGTATCCATAGGAATTTAATTTCAAATCTGTTTTCTTTAGCAGCTAAAACATTCATTCGAATATCACTGACTATTTTCTGGGTGTCACTACTATGTGCGTTCAATGCCAGGAGTGCACTCTGCGAGTCACAGTATATAAGTCCACTGCCTTTGTCTTTTAAAAATTCAGTGGCAAGGTATATGCCTGCAAGTTTGGTTTGAGTTGTACTTGCCCAGTCATTGACGCGCTTCATTGCTGTGTGTACGAGAGAAGATTGTTCAAATATATTGCATGCACATCCGGTACATCGTCCACCTTCTTCTACAGAGCGGTCGGTATAGCACTGATACACATCGTTACCCATACTCTGAGTACTTTCAGTGATGCTTTTCAGTGTTAACTGTTTTAATAATGTAGAGTGCACACTATCATTCTTGGGCGCATTTACAAAATCAGCTGATAGATCCCAGTTATCCCATGGAGTAATTGGTTGATTTATCATTAATTGAGTTGGGTACATATTTAATATTTTGATAGGAGTTAGCCACCTTGTAGAACCAAAATACATAATCAGATTTCGTTCTTCTTCTATAGACGTCATGTGAATGCAGCATATTAGAAAGTTTAGCTTGAAACTTCATGTGTTGTCTAGATCTACTCAATGCCTTCACGCCGAAAACTGTGCTAATAGACAACATTCTCACTTATGGTAGGTAATTTTAACTCTGCTCTCATATTAACTATTCTCGTGGACTTTGGAGCCCCCAAGGATGAGACGCATTGCTTCATTTTGCAAGGTTTCAAGAGATTTCAGCTCTTTGTCAGTATACAGTGTGTGAGATGTAGAGCATTGTAGTCAATCACAGAGCGTATAAATGATACATAAAACATTTTAGCAAGTCTCACGTTAAGTCCATGATTGACACCAACAAGGACCCGCAAGGGCTTTAATCTCTCCCAGAGTCTCCTCTTGAGATAAGAAAGGTACCCAGGGTCGTTAATGGGGACACCAAGGTATCTATAAGACTCGCAGTTCTCAAGTGCTCGCCCATCTATATGATAATTGGCTGGTGGAATACCACATGGAATGAGGGCACGAGTTTTGTGTACAGAGATAAGGAGGCCACATTCCTCAGCTCTAGTAGCAAAAGCATCGAGCAGAATTTTTTCAGTGTCAGAGTAGTTAATAAATGGAATGCCCTAGGAAGTGATGTGGTGGAGACTGACTCTATACACAGTTTCAAATGTAGATATGATAGAGCCCAGTAGGCTCAGGAATCTGTACACCAGTTGATGTACAGTTGAGAGGCGGGACCAAAGAGACAAAGCTCAACGCCCGCAAGCACAATTAGGTGAGTACACCCACCCACAAACACCGCCCCCCCCCCCCCCACACACACACACACTGACCAAAGAGCCAGAGCTCACCCCCCTCAAGCACAATTAGGTAAGTACACACACACAAAATCAGGCACCAACCCCTGCAAGAGACTCGAACTGAGAAAGCAGAGGAATTCGCGCACCTGAGCATACTGCCCCCAGACCCTATAAAAGGGAACGAAACTTCGGAGTTTATCCTCAAATTTCGATCCCCCGAGGACACCAGGGTGCTAAACGGTCAGATTACGTTTTTTTTTATCGAAATGTTGAGGATAAACTCCGAAGTTTCGTTCCCTTTGTTTTTTTACCCTAAGCAATTATCAGTCC